TCTAACTGTTGCTCAACATGATTGGCAACTTCTATGACTTTCTGCTGAAGTACAGTCTCCATATTGCTATTAATTTGGAAAAATAACATATAAATATCTGAGTTCATTATTTTTTCATAGATATATTATAGATAAGATACAAAAAATTACAATTCAAAATAGCTTTCCATATATATAGTGTAATTGATAATATTAAGCATAAAATAATTATATTAACATTAAATATAAATAAATATATTAATAATAAGTACAACTAAATATAAATATGATTGAACAGCGATATTTACCCAGAAACGTCTCAGCTCCAATTTTGATAAAATTATACTCATTCGGCGCGTTTTTATACGAAACGAAAGAATCTGGCAAAAAAAAATATAATTGTCTCGTAAAACAAGATTATTATGGATATAACAGGTTTTGTAATCTCAATAGTAGTAAACTTATGACTAATATCTTGCTTTGCTGCAGTCTTGAAAAAAGTGAATCTGATAAAAAAAAATGTTTTGAATGAGCATAATTTTATAGATATTGAAGCTGAGCCGGGCTTGCTACATAAATACCTTCAGTGATAACTTGACTTGAATTCGCTACTTCACAATCCAAGGCACTTCTTAACCATATATAGAAATGTCACGAAACAGAGCTGTTTACTCTCAAATGAAGGTGCTGACGATTAAAGGCCGCAGCACAGACTTTTGCATAACGCATAAACCATATACATAAAAAGTTTGATTGGTCCATTGACTCATGCATAAGAAAATGGGCCAATGTAACCTTATTCACATGCGTTATGCAAAAGTGTGTGCTGCGGCCTTTATTCAAGTCATGATGTAACATGATTGAGGTTAGGACAGCCGCGAAATACTGCGCTGCGAGCATGCGCTGCGGTTACATTTTTTTTATGCTCTGTGGTTACATGCGCATGCGTTTTAGGTCTTATTAGGAAATTCGATGAAGGCGGAGTTAAAGTCACTAGATTTATAAAGGTTGCTTTCCATCTACAACACAGCAATCACCTCATCTTTAATGCGTCGTATACAATACACGGAATAAGACGTAAGAGTAAGAAATTGATTAATAACAATTAATCATTCTTCTCACATTCGACTGTGATTGGTCAATTTCTTACCCTTACTTCTTACTCCATGTATTTTAGACGACGCATAATGCGTGGTCTACAATGGGCAGTAGCAGTAGTGGAAGGAGTAGGCGTAGAAATCAACAAATCATAGTCGAATGTGAGGAGGACAATTAACTATCATTGGTCGATTTCTACGCCTACTCCTTAAGGACGATGCTGGAGAGACGGCCGAACTTAATCGATATCGATAAAACAGATTTTTAATTCCAATTAAAATATTACATATCTCTGTTACATACATCAAGAAAATATTTACAAACATTAAGTAAAATATGACGTACATTTCTTGTTCTGCTATATCCTATATATCACTTGAATGTGAGGTTATGTCACTCAAATCGTATTTCTCGTGCCATTTCTTTTGTAAGCTTTAAAATCATAATTTGAAGGTCTCATGATAATCTTATAAATTAGTCAAATTTGGAAAAGTCTTTTTTGTTTGGATATATGCTTGCATTAATTTGTATATATATGAAGAAAGAACCTACATGATAATTTTTGGGGGATTTTCATACCGGTTTGGACTTTTCCAAATTTGTTTGTGTTTTCCCTTTTATTTTGGAAAAGGATTTTTTATTCTGTATAAGGAAAACGAAATGGCATGAGAAATACAAAATGAGTGTTCCGTCGGTAACTCCAGCATCCCTTAATCCACTACTGTTACTGCCCATTGTAGACCACGCATAACAATTAGCGAACGACAAGGATAATTTTATTTATTTTTGAGGTGTTGTACTTAAACTGTATAATTACCATTAAGAAAAATATTATATATAATACAAGGTTTTGATAAACATAAATATATGTATATTTGGCACTTTTACTTATTTAATAAATATATAATAAATAACAGTAATCACGATTACATTTTGATATAAATAGGACCAACATGGATTTAAAAAAGATCTTTAAGGATCATTGATTTTAATTGTATTTATTATAACTATCAGGCAGTAAATATTACAGATTTTATTTTTAGCTTCGCATTGATTGCTTCTTGATATTAATAACATTCTATTTATTAGATGAATAATTAAAAACTTAAATATATAAATTGGGTATTCAATAAAGCAGAAAATATAACTTGAATATAAGAACAGCAAAGTAATAAAATTTCGATATTATATCAACATAAAACAGTAAACAACAACAATTTTTTATAATAATATGTATAAATGTCAGTACTATCGAGAAAATTTTAATTGGATATATTGAAAATGATATGAGGAAGACATTTGCTACACAATATAATAAAAACAAAAATTCACCAAAAATCATGTTCAAATAATATACATATACACAAAGAATGAAAATATAAACAATATTCAATAATCATGCTCTTTTAATGATAAAGGTTTCGCATTTATTCATATTTCATAGTTGCATGTTTGCAATAAAATGAAAGAAACTTTTTAGAAACAGTCATGTGTTCTTTCTAAAAGTTTTTTTTTATACTGCATAAATGTTAGTTAAATTAAGTTTGAATACAGCAAGCTAAATTAGGCCTTTATATAAAAATGCAATTCAAGTTTTATTGCAAAAAGTAGTAATGCTATTCACTTTCTGTATTAAATCAATCATGAATTTCATAGATTATGATAGAAATTTCCATAATTTAGGATAGAGAAAGAACGAATACCTGATTCGTACAGAAAAATCAGTATATAAGATATTTCGTTGTGAATGTGATCATAATAACGCTTAAAAATTGATTCCTAAGACCATTTTGAGAAGAAAATTTCCAAAATGTTGAAGCTATAATACTTTCTGAATTATAAGTACATAGACCTACAAAAAAAATGAAATTTATAAACCAAGGCCAAAATTGAGCGCTTATAAAAGATAATATATTTGAATAAACTTCTGTAACAAGCGGTACAAGTTTCGATTTTATTCGGTTCAGCTGCTTTAAAACAATATAAAATTATATACAATACCAGTTCTAAATTATATCAAAAGTTAATAATACTATAAGATTAAAGGGCCATCTTTCTCTTCTATAGTTAACAGTTTCTATATTATTATCTAATATATTATCTTACTTATTTCAAATTTTCACTGTCTTCGCTTTTCAGCACATATATTCTCATTATACTCTAATATGTATCTATCATTAAGTTTGTTATAAAAGTTTGGTTAACTAACTATACAATAAAATAAATAGAATTAAAGGTAAATATTTAGATTAGGGGAGTCAGCCTCAATGATCTTGACAACATATGTCGAGGTTAAGGTCTTTAGAGCAGATTCCCCTAATCTAAATATTTACCGAATTAAAAATTGTGAGTACATGAAATCTGACTTTACTATATTTTCATGTGATTATCAAACTAACAATAAATATAAAATTAGCGAATCACTTAAAGTTCAGGTGCGATTAGTGTAATACAACACAAAATGTCATCACACCTGAATGCATGAACTTTAGAGAAGATATGATTCGCTAACTTTAAATGCTTATAATTAAAAAAAAACTATTACGGCCTCAACATTTTAATATTAAGATTTTCGTCTTAAAATGATTTCAGGAATTTACTCTTAAGCGTTATTATGACCCTTACAGGGCACTCGGTGACAAATAATTGATGACAAAGGCAAATTAAAATTAGTGGATCTTACTAATTATGTGGTCATAATAAAGACTGAAAGCTCTTTAAAATTAATAAATACGTTCGAGGAGACGCTATTAGCACTATTTGTGTCATTCTATCTACATAGTTTAGACACAAAACAAGGATAGAATAATACAAATAGCGTTTAATACAATAATAATACAATGTCTCCCTGAACGCATCAAGAGACAATGTATATGCAATGACCATAATCCCTAACGACTGATAACAATAAATATCAGCTATTAATATATCAATATTTTAATTAGATATCGGCTTTTATCAAAAAATTTACGATCTTTTTATATAAATAAATGTGTGATTATATGTTAAATGACTTTAATTGCAAAGAGTACTATATAACTATATGTATTTAAACTTGAAAAATATGTGTGCATATATAAAAGTAATGATTGTTCTTAAGTAATTTTTAATTCATTTTTTGCTACTTTCAAAAATTTTTTTAATATGATCGAAGAAAAGGAATTGTAAATAGAAATTTGTAATATTTTTAGATATCAACTATAATTAATAAATAGATTTATAAATGGTCTGTAGTGTGTAACCTTAAGGAAGGTAAAAGAACTATAAATGCTATTATAGTTCTTTTCTTAATTTCTAAAAATTAGATACTTAAATTATGATATTACATTTATGACTTCAATATATTTTTTTCTTTGATCACTATATGAAACATAAATATTTGAAAAATAATGTAAAGTATTTTTTAGACTTACTGTTCTCTAAAGAAAAAAATGATCATACAAATATTTAGATTTACAAGCCTTTACTTTGCAGTCTCAAATGTTTCATAGAAGACGCGCGCGCGCGTATGCAAAAGTAAATATATTATAATCAAACATTTTTTGTTATTTTAAAATTTTTCAACTACCGTCTAATAAATTTGTTCAAATATATGAAATGTATCTGTCACTATCTTGAAAAGTCCTTCCAACATGTTTATATTTTCTCATTGCTTCAACAAAATTATCAAGCCCTGAGAACATTCGACACAGTAGAAAGATCACCTGCAAGATTCTAAAATTTTACTGAATAATACCTAAAATGTACATTTGCATTTTCAAAATGTATTTGTAGATAAGAAAGTTTTTATAGGCAATGATAATTCGAAATTTTCATTCATTGGAATTTTTAAACATATACAAGATATCGCTATTTCTTTGAATCCCTTGGATCCATATCACTTATCCATATTTTGAGATGTGAAATAACAATAGTATGTCGCATTGGTGCATTTCAATGCACAGGAATGACTTTGGGGGGATACCGCCAAGGGCTAGTTGCAATTAATTTGTTTGCTGAATATTTACATTGAACGAATTAATATCTCTAGTCAGCCTTGCGTGGCTTACGTTTGCGAACGTTAGGACTACTAGTATCAGCTTTACTATCTTTATCTGTCTCACTCGCTTCTACTTCTTTCGTCTCAGATTTCTTTGTTTCAGATTTCTTTGCTTCAGATTCTTTCATTTCAGGCTCCTCTGTTTCAGATTCTTCTTCATCTATTAAATCACCACCAATATTTTCTACAATTTCATCCTCGTCTGAATTTTTCTCTTGAGTAGCACCGTCTGTTGCAGCAGTCTGTTTCATCTTACCTTGTTGCTGTGACGGTGGAAAAAGGAAGTCAACCAAGCACACAATAAGCTACAATTATAAATACAGTTAACATCACCTATTTATCAGATATATATAAATTTTATACATCATAATGTAAAATGTATCACTCTTACCAATCCTAATATTGTGCCTGAAACAACTGTCGCAGCAGCAAAAATCAAGTAAACACCCCATACAGGTACCCCAACATCTTCCAAAAGTTGATTGTGGATATTCTGTGGAAAAATAGTAGTGTTTCATTGAAATTTTTGTAACATAATATAATTTTGTGTGCATGCGTATGCACGCGCGCGCGTGTGTGTGTATGTGTACACACGCATCACTTACACGTAATATTTGGGATAATTTAAAAAATTGACTTAAAAATGACATATGGAATGATGTTGGGCTTTTCCAACTAGATATTGGATCTACTTTCATCCATGTCTTTTCAGATACAAATTCGATTAATGATGATTTATCTCTTGGGCTCTTATACTGCCTAAATATCCCATTGTTTACACTAGAAAACAAAAAAAATTAATTCTAAGATATATAATTATAAAATTTAATAGAAATTTACAAAATATTAAAAAATAACTATGTAAATATTAATATAATATGTATAATATTAATATAATTTTACCATGTATATACATAACAAAATAAAATATTAGTATAATTATATACTTACTGATATATTGTAGGTAAAGCTGTAACTAAAAATCTGCCACTAAGACCTGGAGAATTTGTCACATCTATCTTTCCAACATTGATGTTTAGTTTCTTTTTGGATAATGCAAGATCCTCCCAGACTGGTTCAAGTGCTCTACAAGCTGGACACCATGGTGCATAACTAATAAATAACACAATATATTAAATTCTAAAAATTATATATATTAATCAGATTTTAATACATGCATATATATATATATATATATATGCATGTATTAACACATACATATAATAATCATAAAAATTTTAATGTATAAATTTTTAGACAATATATATGCTATCAACTATAAAATATACATATATATTGATAAGAATAAATCTAACTATATAACTTTATATTCCACATATTCTTTACAAGAATACTTCTATAATTTATTGAATCTGTTTAATTATATCTCTTTGGAACTAACAGTAGATTTATTAGATTTATGCAATGATTGTTTGAATAACGAACATTTTGATGAATAAAAATAATTCAGTTTTTTCTGTAAAATATATTAAGATAAAAGATACACATTAATACATTTGAATTTATTATTAGCTATTAATTTTTGTCTCAAACATTATAGCAATTGCTATTTTTACATAAAAATATAATATTAAACAACTCAATTTTCTTCACGTTACATTTGTAAATTCCAATTATTTCTTTTTAAATAAAGTTTATGTCTATTCTTTTTTTTTTATACAAATTATGTTATTTCGAATTTGTAATATTATTTAATGTCTTTTGATTAACATGTATTAAACTTAAATATCACAGTAAGTGTTATAGATTTTAGCGCCAGCTCTAAAGAGTTAATGACAATCGTCAAGGACAAATAAATTCGGGTACTTTTTGACACGACATCAACCACAATGATGTTGATGCACGGTACTTACAACTCGACCATCCACTCTCCCGTGAGCATGCGATCCCAATTATCCTCGTTCAGTTGCTCCACCAGGCTGTCCTTCGGTCGCGTATTCGTGTCTGTACTCGCGCTCGCATACGTGGACAATAATGCGACGTAAATGACATAATATACAGGACCCATCCTGATGACGTCCAACCGTCGACTTTAACCAAAACTCACCCGGCACTGTACGCCACACCACCATACACGACGCCAACACCACTTGCACCACTGACGATGCTAACTGTCCTTAACTGAGCAAATAAAACATGAAAGCTTAAGGCCAGTTTTACCAACGCCGATTAATCCTAATCGGGATCAACTGTCAACCGTAACTGGTTAATTCTACTAAACAGCAAATTCAATTGGTCAGATAACAGCCAATTAAGTAACTGGCGTTGATGAACCTGCTCAATGGGAGTTTTCCAGCAAAGAACATAAACGATACAGTGTAAGAGGGTTGCCGCACACACCTTCCGTAAGAATTAGCCAATCACAATCGAGAATTCTTTTGAATTCTTAATTCTGATTGGCTGATTCTTACGGTTTATTTCTTATGGTTTTAGGGAGTTTTTGCAATACCGTTTATCCCTGATACGGTGAACGCTAAAGTCACTTATCCTTTTCTTAATTAGGTATGAAGAAAAAACAAAAATTCTCAATTGCAAAAACTCTCTATTACGTCAGTTGTCCTAACGCTAATCATATAATTCGAAAACAATTTTTACAATAATATAAAATGTGTTCAATACTGTCACAGTAATGTTTATTTCAACATTTTAAATAGTATACTTAAATAAAATTAACAAGTATTACTATTTTGGTGAAGCAATTATTTTTTTAATTATGTATTTATTTCCCGGAACACGTCATTTTTCGGGTCTTTCACGCCATGCGTGTATCGTCTTATCCTTGTTTAACATAGTTGAACAATAAGGATAAAACGATATACGAAGCATGCAGGAAAAATGCGAAAGAGTGCTGATGCTGATTGACTGTTCGAATCACGCATCCTCTGTCCCGTATGCTGATTCTTGTATTGTGTGATTTCACTCTTTAAGATAGATATAGGTATATATTTGCAAGCAACGCGAATAGATCTTAAAACCAAAGCACCTTATAAACAAAGCAGCTCTATCTTGATTGGCTGAATTCCGATGCGCGTCCGCAATCTCAAATCTCAATCCGATCCGCGTCCACAATCCGTAGTGTGACACGGGCATTAATGGTTTTGATAGTCAACGAAAAAAGCCGGGAACAGCCGAGAATACCGAGATGGTTGCTCTTGAGCTTTTCGGGCTTCTTTCTGCATAAATGGTAGATGTGTTGATGTATATTTTATTTCTTTATATTTTTTAATCGCGATAGGCGTCGAAACTCGCAGAACATATGACGTCTCTTTGAAAGCATAGGTGAGCCTCGTGTCTCGGTGAACGAGCGTACAGTGCGAGAATCAGAAAAAGTTAATATTTTGCATGCGATTAAAGAATTTTGAGGAAGAATAACGTATATCAAGGTATATGTACATATGTTTCTATTTATATATTCCCGTAAAATTTTTGCTGATATCTTAGCCCATTGTTTGATTTGTAATCATCCAAATTTACAAATATAGAATTCTCTCGTTTAATTTTCTGAGCATATTTTGCAGGTATTAACATGTCAGCGGTATATCCGACTTTACCGAAACTGGCAGTGAGAGACAACCTCGACGAAGATGATCTCACTGACATCGACGATGAGGTATTCATTAGGGATGGGAGAAGCGGTGGATTGAAATTAGATGACGATGGTGGAGTGAAGCAGCCTCTCATGGCACCTCGTAGAAAATGCAAAAAACCTTTCAACTTGGAGAACCATAAGATCCCGTATAACATGCTTCTTGTGCCAGTGTGCTGTGGAACTGCAGCATTGATTGTGCTGTTAGGCTTAATTGTAGTCTGTATATTCACTGCAAATATATTCCCAATGCCGTTAACTGTATTGAAAAGCTGGATATCACACGATCTAAAAACTCCTGTAAATGAATCAGAGATAATTCCATGTACCTCACTCTCGTCTAATGTTTTATGGGCTAGATCGTTTCCAAAGTTAACACCTGAGGCACCTCTTAGGAGTAATGATGTTAACTCTGATGGAATTGAAGATATTATTGTAGGATTTAGCACAGGTATAAAAAGTATTATGTTTATTAATTCAACTAAATGGACGTATTTTATTATTATTGTTATTTTAATTTTGTTTTGCTCTCTTTTTTTTGTATATATTATAGTTTATATAATTTTTTATATCCATATACTATGTTGCATTGTAATTTGTAATTGCTACTTTTATTTGGTTTGCTTCTTTTACAGATTTTGGTTTGACATTTACATGATGTTTCTTAACAATCTAAGGTGAATTATTAATTATTTTCTGAATAGATTATTAATTTAATCACTTACGATAAAGATCGTTGATTTATAATTCAGGTCTGGATATGATGGATACAGAATATATCTGTACTATATATTTTGGGAATCAAACGCCGTGTCTAGGCGGCGTACTAGCGCTGAATGGTAAAACGGGAGAACCTATCTGGACACATTGGACTGCTCATTCCATACTTTCTGTTGACTGTGATGCAGATTTGACAAATGACAAGATTAAGGATTGTATCATATCTGGACGTGGTGGGATACTACAAGCTATTAATGGCCATGATGGTTCCAGTATATGGGAGATACCACTTCAAGATCTAATTTCTGAGCTGCAAATAATTTCGGATGTTTACGATGCAAGATTTATAGCAGATATGGATGGCGATGGTATTGCCGATGTAATAGCGTCGCATGTTATACAATCGGACAACATTCAAGCGAGCAATGTACTTGTGATATCGGGTAGAAGTGGCAGTGTTATACACAATATGAATTTACCAGATACAGAACAATTGTTCATAGCACCACAAATTATAGTGCATCCTGATGGAGAAAACGTATTCGTTTTAGCTACAACCAGTCAACAAGATTCTGGAGGATTATATGTAGTGTCTCAAGCTAATATATTTTATGGTGATTTGGTATGTAATTATAAAAAAAGATTTGTTAGATTTTTTTGTACAAAAAGATTGCATTTTAATTGCTACTTTGAATACTTTTGTTGCAGCAATTGCAAAAGCTCAATCATAACACTGGCAAAAATGCGTTGTTGCCACCGATCCTAATCGATATTACATCGGATGGAATTGAAGATATTGTCGCCGCTATGTTCAATTCTACGATTATAGCATACAATGGAACTACGTTTGAGCCTATCTGGAATTACACGATTCCCAATTCCGAAGTAATTAGCATTCCCATTCCCGGTTATTACAATGACGATGATATACCAGACTTTATGGTGAAGCATCAGATTGGTACTGGCTTATCCACATACTATTATACTATGGCCACAGTCATAGATGGTCGTAATGGACAGCCTTTGCTTGAGAAACCGATGGAGGATAGCTTGAGTGGACAAATGTCTGGATTATCAGTCACTGTCGACGGATTCGGTAATGATTGGTTTTTGCATTGGTCCACCGATTGTTTAAATTATGAGGGAATTAAAGAAAAATATCAGTTCTTAAAAGGTCAGAGTTTCATGTCACAAACTCGCACCGATCTCTGCTCCTTGAGATTCAATTCGACTCTTACTATGAGATTATTGGCTTTGAGTCAACATGTTGGTCCGCCTGGATTGTCGTTATACTTCTCAGAAGACTGGAAGTCGGTAGAGTTCAATAATTCAGTCGACCTACGAGAACAAGAGGAGAAGAAGTCCCATTCGCGATCAAAGATTACGAATACTTATGCAAACATACCGCTCGTTTCCGAAAGATCGCCAAAAATTCATAAAAACCATCGGAAAGATAGCATCTTCAAACACAAAGATAGTCTACTCGAGATTGGCAAATACGATTCGGACGCAGTATATGAAAACTTTGATGAGTTCAAGAGCCATAAGAAACATAATCCCGAAGATACTATAGAGAACTTGAATGTAGATCAAGCATGGAAACAGGATAATAAATGGATGGAGGATATACAGCCGGATAAAGAGTATGATAGTTTATATGAAAATGATAACGGTAACAACGAGGACGGGCAACAGAATGTAGATTACTCGCAAGGTGAGGTGCGAGAACAGAGAAGTGTTTCAGTAGATAAAGATCCATATTCGATAAATATTTCTCATAAAGAAATTAATTCAACACCTGAATCAACGATACACGATTTACAATTGGATTATGAGGAAATTAACATAGGAGAAAAAGAGGAAATAGAAAAAGAAATCATTGACAAAAAGAATGTCTCACTGAACGAAGCTGATGATATAATGAATATATCAATGACGTCAATTTCACAATCGCAGGAAGAGTCATCAACTATATCGAATAATAAATTGAATATCGAAAAGATTACTACAATACAGAATGTATCAAAGACGAGTGAATTAATAGAAATAAAGAGCACAAATATAAGTACAGAATTGCCGGAAAACACACGTACTGAAGCATCAAATGTTACTAAAGATCAAATAATCACCGATCATCCAGATGCAACTCCCATTACTAAGAAAGTCTTAGACGTGACTCGGCAAAGACACATTTATAGATATGGTTTTTCTATTAGCCAAGACTCGGATGAGGCTGATATAGAAAAAGTATTTAAACGGGAGTCATTGAAAAATCAAAATATAGGCAAGATTAATAAGAAGCAATTACTGATATTGTCGTCAACTGATAAAATTGATAAAATACGACAGAAACGAAGAACGAAACGAAATTCAAGAATTAAGGACAATCAGTCAAAAAATTTCAATGGTGTTCAAAAGCAGGCACCAACTGGTATTCTGCTGCCATCTATTATCGAATCCAAAGGAAAGACGTCGATAGATTTAGTGTTTCCTACGTTCTGGTTACCGTCGTCTGAAGTGTCTCTAATCTTGTCTCGAGCAGATGTAGAGTGCATTGACAAGAAGAAAGCATTATTAGACGATAAACTTGAGTACAAAAAAAACGACGACATCATCAGCGAATGTTTATCCGAGCGAGGCATTAATTACAGATTATATCAAGAGGCAATGGATAGGGAAAATACCAAAGTCGCGTTTGGTCAAATGACAATATACAGAATGAAACTAGAATGCGTATGCCCGGAGGATATGTTACCTAATCAAACGTGCAAAAATATTTCAACACATCAGAGCTGGCCAGAGTATTTAGGTTCTTCTGGAAATGGCTACTTTAAGTCATTAAATTAAATATTTGAAGAAACTCCAATAGCTTGTAGTTTCGAATTATATAAATTATTGATGAAATTTTTATTATAAATTGTAACGTTCTCTAATGGAGCCGTTAATGATTAACGTAATTAAAAAATTATCAAATAGTCTCATACGCTATTTGTAAAAGTATACAATAACAATTGTAATTTTAATCGTTATATAAAGTAATTTATATTAATATTTATATGCATTTTTGGGGGAAATAGAAAGAATGCAAATTAAGAGCAGACTTCCAAAATACATTTTGTCTAAAATTTTATTTTTTAATTGAAAATGACATAGTGTTCAACGTTGAGAGACTCATATATTTTAAGCTACTCTACAATGTTTTGAAAGCATACATCATTAACTTATGTCATTTAAAAAAAATCTTGACATTTGAAGTGTATTACGTTTAGAAAGACACTAGAAAGATTTAGTAAGAAACTAGAAAGACAAATAAAATGTATTTGTTAATAACTTTAGCAATTGTTTAGTAATTTTGTTAAACATTTCACATCTTATTGATTAAAAAATTGTTATTTTCTGTAATTCATGCAGTTTTCTTGTAGTTTTCTCTTGTTTTCTGAAAATTATAAATTTTGGATAAAACATACATTTTGAAAGTTTGTTCTTCAAATATATACATGCGTATTTGTACAAGAATATTGTTGCTCTTAAAACTTTTATCATTTAATTTTTAAGAGAATTGCTACAATATAATCACATATCTGTTAATTACTTACTGATAATTAAAAGTTTTTTTTTTAATGCAGTTACGAATGAAGGAGTAACTGTATGTGCCAAAAGAGACTTCGACAGTTTTTTATGCATGTGTATACAAATATATTATAAAATTAATATAATTAATGTTGAAAGTATACGTTATATAGTATACAGGATGAGTTATTTTAAATAATACACTGAAATATCTCAAACAATATAAAAGATATGGGAAAATGTTTTAAACAAAAATTGCTCAATTACTAGGGGAAAAGAAAGTGATGATTTTGGTTGACCTAGAAAAGATATTCTTAAGGTCAGATTATCAAAAATGTTTTTAATGGAGATCCTAATTTTTTTATTTCATGTTCATATAGCTGATGTCAAAATCTTTTCGAAACACTATATAATAAAATTTTTTTTCATTGAGTATTTCAGAAATTGGAGCTGAATTTCACTCCATGATAGCCTATCTGAATGTATAGAATTTTTTGCTTTTTTCATTTCTGGAGTCAAAAATAGAGGTTTCTATTTAAAATAACATCAGTTGTAACAATTACTTGATGAATGATCAAAATTAATGTAGTCAAACAGAGTGCTTCCAGCGTTGACCTGTTAACTTTCAAGTCCCATAGCTTATAAAGTACTAAATGAAGAAATATTTTATTAAAGTATTTTGAAAAAGTCTTAATGTCAGCTATATGTGAAGTAATATGGAATTTCCATTAAAAAAATTTTTGATAATTTTGATCTGAAACTTTAAGGACATGTTTACTAAGTCAACCAAAGCCATCACTTTCTTTCCCTCTAGTAACTGAGCAACTTTCGTTCAAAACATTTTTCTGTATCTTTTATATTTTTTGAGATATTTTAGTGTACCACTTAAAACGACTCACCCTGTATATTATTATAGTAATAATTTAAACATATTCCAATATTCATACAAATAAAAATATTAATCATGTGTGTGTATGTATGTGTGTGAGATATACACTCATACACACACAAGATGTCCAATATATATACATATATATATTCACATTATATACTTATATAAAATATATATATATACACATACATATATATTGTATATATATATGTTATCACAAATTGATAATCAAATGTTACATAGCTATATAATCTGATATTGATTGTATCAGCAGATACAAATATTCTATGTAACTAACAAAGATATATTCTGGTGCTATCAATTATGCCTTTTTACATGCATTTCCTATTAATTTAAAGAACAGAACAAATTTTATTATATAAACTTTCTAAATGCTATTGCTTTTTCTGGAAATTAATTAATTACATAATTAAGCTCTTCTTTCATATACATTGTTTCATTAATTACGTTTGTAGGATAATATATGTAAACATTTAATCACTGTTAAGTGTAACACAAGTATTCAAAGAATATAAAATATGTATTAATTGATCAATTAATGTTGACACTTATTCTTCCTGTATATTTTCGTTGCTATGGCATACCGTTTGATCAATATTGATTTATTAGATAAGTCTTCTTACTGCTCCTTACATCATGATTTGATTGTTACTTTTATGTGTGATAGATATTTTATTCTTATAGCTTTTTCAAGAATAGGATAAGCCAAACATTTTAAATGCAACATATAATAAGCTGTAATTAAGCACAATGCAAATTATGGCGGAAAGAAGCATGAAACGTCGTAAGATACATATGTCACATAAGTTTAACGATTAGTCGATAATTAACAATTTTTTAATGATGCATTAGCGGATTATACTTACACTGTGTGCAGCAGTAGCAATCATTTCAGATTGTCAAATACTTGGAAAACCAATCTATTTGTAAGTTTGTAATAGAATACATTTTTTAAAGATTTGAATATAAACATATGATTCTTCTAAAATTTTCTAATATTTATATTTCTTCTAGCGAACATGTGAATATTCCGAAACTCTAGATAACAAGAAATTTCAAGATTACAGGGATGATTTTTTAGTAAAATACAAGTTGTGCAGGTACTTTTTAAATTTTGGACGAATCTTTGCTTATTATTTTTATTTTAAGAATTTCTCATTCAAGTCATTTATTTAAGCACATTAAATCTTGTACATTAAAAATATTATCTTTCTATCAGAGATGTCGATCAAGTTAAGAAACTGTAATTTAAACTATGTGGTTTTACAGAATGGCTGTACAAAATAAGACAGTCGGATCTATTGGCGGAGATACATACAAACATTTTCGAAAACCAATGTTACCTTTTGTAACATCAAAAGTACAGACTACAGACGTCTCACCACACTGTTTGGAGCACAAGACTTTATATGGAATTCTACAAAGTGCACAAAGGCGATGCTATACTGCATTTTCTAAATCAAAACCGTATAAAAATGCAGAAACACAGACAGATTATAGAGAGAGCGAGGTGCAAACTGAACCTTGGGAACCACCATACAAAATTGTTTCAGGTAACAATTATATTGCAATTGTACTGTATCAAATTTATAGAATATATATCAATTAAAAAATTGGAAGAAACAAAACGTGAGAAAGAAACAAAGTTGGAAATGTCGAAATAAGAACTGTATTGTATACTAATTTTTATTTAGGTCATAATCCTGAAGTATTGACATTGGCTCATCTAACTTGGGAGCATGGATTACCCGCAGGTGTCCATGAGGTACATATTATCAACAGGATGCGGATAAAGAGAGCTTGGGAAGCCATTCTACCGCCGATGGATACACCGGCCAACATAAAAATACGAAATTCAATAATAACGGCCTTAGAGATAGACGAATGGGCATTTCGAGAGTCGGTGAGTGTTTCAAGACATAAAAGAGAATTTCAATCATTTATCTATATATATTTACATTTCTTCTTTCTCCAAGTATATGTATAATAAATAAATATAATAAAAATCTTAATCCGACTATCTAATGTAACATTTATGTTTTCTTCTTCCTTCTTTAACTATAATTTTAGGAGATTCAATTCATAATGGATTTACGTCTGGACCTGATGAGGAATCTCCTACAAAGTCGTGAATCGAAATACGAGGAAAAAGTGCAAGGTCGTTTCAGTAGACTCGAGAGCAAACTAAGCAAATATCGAGACAATCAAATCAAAGCTATCAGATATAATCTTAAACGAGATCTGCGAAAATTACATAGAAAACGTAATGAAAAGCAATCTTGTAAGCCCGATATAATTGAACGGTATATCGATCCTAAGTCTGACCTATATGCACCGCAAATGCGTTTCGGTGACCATCCCCAAAGGAGGCACGAAATTTTGCAGAAGCAACTCCCAAGTGAATGTCATATTGAGCGTGAGTACATATTTATTTGTAATTAATATGCAATCGCTGCTATTCAATTCATGGCAATTGTTATTTAGAAGAAGACGCAACGCTTAATTGGCTACCCATTATCGAAGAACCAAAAGTAATTAAACATAAACCTAAACCGATAGACATCTGTATACGAGAAACCAGATGGACAGAGGAAAAATTGAAACAGCTTCATTCTGATTTAAAAGCTATTCGAATGAAAGTCAAATCTGTAGATGAAGGTCCTAGATTAGTAAGGCGTAATCATGAACAGCCGGTTTTGTCTATCACACCGCGCAGATCGGGTATATGGGACGATAAGCAGAAACAACGGGAAGAATTAGCTACATTTATACAGAAGCTTATTAAAGGCAGAGCGATACAATGTCTGGTAAATTACAAATCCGATCATTTGTTATGTATTTAAAATAGACATAAAAGAAAAGATTCCATCTTCTATAGAATTTGTATGATAGGAGAAAGAGAGATAAAATTTCATATTTATTATGCTACAGATGTACAAAGGACGCGATAGATGCAGAGAGCTAATCGAGGAATTACAATCAACTCAAGTGCTCGAACAAGAAGATTACGATGAAAAGACACATATGATTAATTTGCGACAATTACAAGATGATCAATCAATGCAGGAAAATCGTTTGTGCGAGATTCTTGATTCCTTAGAGGGGAAGACAATCTGTGGAACATTAGATTTTCTTAGCAAGGTAAATTTTGTAATCTTCTGGCGTGAAACAATTCATTCGATTATCTCCCGCATCATCTGCAGGAGTTGGTGAGATTAGAAGACGAACGTAGAGCTCACGCCTTCGCGTTGCTTGCTGAGAGAGAAAGATCTATGAGAGAAGCCGCCGAAGCTGGCAGGCGACAAGTAGAACGTAACCGACGACGAGAATTTGACGAAATGTTCAAACAAATCATAAAAGTAAATCAGGACTCAGTAGAAGCATACTTGGAAGACATTGTGAGAGAAGAAATCGATTGGATATCCGATAAGACTGCTAAAGAACATATTTTAGAAATTTGTGATAAAGTGGATGCTGTAACGAAACATGCCGCAGAAAAGTAAGATGATTGATCGAACATTGATAACCAATAGATAAAAAAATTACTTCATCAAAAGAATATATAAAACATAATATTTTTGCAGCTCTGATAAGTTAGCAGATGAAGAATTGGTAGCAGATATGATTTACAATTTTGTTTTACCTGAGGTGGAAAAGCACAATATGAGAAAAAAAATTCGCGATCAACAACAAAGTTACATGAAGAATGCATATGTATCACTTTATGAGAAAATTTTAGAATTACCGTCTACTGAACCATCACAAGTTGTGGATCAAAAAGTTACTATAAAAAATGAGAATGTACAAACTAGTTACATGACTGAAGATATGGTAAAAATTGATAATTTGTTTATATCGTGTTATTCTTTATATAAAATAATATCCATTATTTTTTTCAGAAACAAGATATTGAAGCAAAAAAAGTAGAACTTCCAATTCCTAAAACGAATGTCGAAAATAAAAAGCGAGTAGATTCAGAAATAGATTAAAAAATAGATTCACAAAATGATTTAATGGAAGCTTAATAATATGTATTAGAAATCAAAGGCTACTTTTTTATCTAAAGGATATATATATATATATATAATAAAGGTTAATTATTATAATAATAACTAAAAATGTAGAATTTGTGTATTAAATTTCCGAACATAATCGGATATCCATGCTATAAAAATAAACATAAAAAATATATTAACATTGTAGTTCGATTAATTATATAACATTATAATTGTAACACGTCTAAATTCTATATTAAATTTATCATATTTTCCAATATTAATCAAGTATGTAATATGTGTCATTATATCAGTGTTACAGACGTCTATGATATGAACGGAATCACAAGGGTTACTTAGCAACCAACTAACTATGGATGAATTGAATGTCTACTCTTGGCTGTCTCCTGAATCACACTCATAAATAATTCCTTGTATTCCTATCATTAAAGATATTCTCAATCAAATAAGAATCCTCTTTTTCCTTCCGTTGAAAACATAACAATTAGTAAATTAACAACTAAATTATCTTGTAGTTTATATACATTATATTCCGAGAAAATATGTTTCTCATTTTAGATTTTATAAAATGATGAATTATATAAATTGGTGATAAAATATTAAGCCAAATCGTATTGATCAATGTTTAATATGAATACAGTCTTTTATATATGTCACCGATTATATATAACTTTACATACATATAAGTATAACAAAATCAATTATACACATGTTAAAGAAGTTGTAACACTATAATTAAGATAAATGTTTTTCAAGAATTAAAGTTATTTAGTGTCATTAAAATAATATTTTGACATTATTGATTTTATTAAAAGTGTTTTAATAAAATCATACATTAATATGCATTTTATTAAAATCGTATTTTAATAAAATCTCACATTAACTTACATTTTATTAAAATATGATTTTAATAAAATGTACATTAATATGTTATTATACAACATAGTTTATTGTCCTTATTCTTTTTCAATTTCTTAATAAATGCACAATAAAATTTATATTTTTACCAATTTTACATAGCATTTATCTGAAAAAATATTTTTTAAATATATATGTTTTGTTAATATATATATATATACATATTAATATAAAAAAAAATATATATCAAACATTCCGTGCCAAGAACCACTCTTTTTTTCAGAAGAAACACACTTTTTATTTTGATTTAACATCTGAAAAAAGGGTGGCTCACTTGATATAAAATGCTTAATATATATGTATATATCCTGGATCATAGGAATCTTAAGTAAAGCACTAATAAACCCAAAAGAATACATTAGTTTACATATTGTTTCTTATAACTGGACAAGAAGCAATTTTATAAACAAAATTATTAATGTTTAAACTTTCTTACAAGTATTTAAAAGTAACTTGTAACTAGTTGAAATTTAAATGTACTGAATGTACAATGCAATCATTATATCTATTTCGCCACAACAGTTGAAAAATGCATTTTATAAAGAGTATAATAATTCTGCGCGCAAAAACCTTTACACTTGGACTGTTAATGTAAAGAGTCAAATTAGCGCGGGCATGATGAGTCGATACGATAACCATCTAATGTAGACTTCGAAAGTAAATTCGACATAAATTGTTTGAACTTCACATCTTTTGCATCGCTCGATGTTTTCCTTTCTACTATGAGCTTGCGTTTCTTGGCTTGCAATTCGTTTGTCTGTTGAAGCGGCTCGGTATCGGTGCTAATAATATGTGTTTTCCGTTTGCGATTTTCTAACGAATCGGGATTCTGAGTTCCTTCCCGTGCACGACTCACTTCGGTAGTCAAATCTACCATCTTCTGCTCCCATTCCTCAAGGTGCTTTCGTACCTCGGCTAACAGTGTATCTTGATCATGTATCTTTTTTGCTTGTTTATGTAACTTCAAAGTTTGCTGTCGCACCAGATATTCTTGTCTTTGTATCCTGAGTCTCATTCTAGTGATTTCATTTCTCATAGACAAAAAGAACATTTTGTTCTTTTTCGTACGATCATTAATCTTTTTAAAAGTCTGGTTAAGCTTCTCTGAGCAGGTTATATTATGATTGTTGCAATGTGGCAGTGTGGAGTTATTTATGTTTCTACCATGGGAGATCATGACGCCACCAGGTAAATCATATGAATTTACAGTACCAATGGATGTGCAAATGTTGTGCTTCAGATCTGGTAGGATCTTTTCATCAAAATGTTCCATGGCCATGCTGCTTATATCCCGTAATTCTTGAAGTATCTCATGTGCTCTAGGTGGTGTCTTTGTCTCACGAATCAATCGAAGAACACGGAAAATTTCATCGATTACCTAAAACAAAAAATAGCAGCATACTTATTATTCAATAATACAACATTTGAAAGTTGAATAAGTGTAACATGTATAAAAATCTATCTCTTGGAATATACGAGAAGTATATTTTAAGGTCCTTATTTTGTAACTCTTAATAATAGTTATCAGTGCTATTACATAAAGTCTATTTTCTAGTAGTTGAACTAGTATATACTTTAGGTTTGTTCGTGTTATATGTTCCAACATGCTGTTACAATAGTTCTTACTCATTCTAACAAATTTGGTAAAAAGAGTAAGAGCTGTATTAAAAACATGTTGAAACAAGTTTGAGCACACAACAAACTAATTTAGAAATATATACGTTTCATATTTAGTACAAGCAAAAAAGACAGTTCTAGGGCAATTTAGTATATAAATAAAAAAAAACAGATTATATATATATATATATATATTATCATTGTATAGTTTATACCATGTGTAAAACTTAAGCAATGATAATGTAACAACATCATTAAAAGTTGACAGAATAAAAACCTAAAAATGTATAAATAAGAAATATTTATACATCAAGTAATAATGTGAAAATCAATTTTTTATGAGATGAAATTTATTAGGAGCCGCCCATAATTAAAGAAATAAGGAACAGAGAATATGAGATTAAGAAACAAGGAATAAGGCTAATTATACAATATGCTTTTTGTTTTATGTTTCTTGCTGTTTGTCTCTTGCCTTTTTAATCAAGAAGGCAAGAGACAAAAAGCACATTGTAGAATTTCAACTTACAAGAAATATACTATGGAATATACAGTTTATAACAGGTTAACACTTTTATTCTATTTCTTATTTCTTATGTTTTTGATTGTGCTTACCTTTCCTGGTATAAAGCAACAAACGTTCAGATCAACGTATTTGATAAAAGTCATTGATAACATAGAGATTCTCGTTTCTATTGCTGTCAAGATATCGCAATGACGCGCGAGAGGATGGCTCCGTCGCTCCGACTCCCTTCTTGGCAGCTTGCTTTTAACAGTGCGAAGGCATTGTGCATGATATTTCTCCATGAGGTTGAAGCCACGATTGAGCAGCTTCTTGCAGATTCGATCAAACTGTCTGCAAACCTAAAAAGCACATTATAAAACCTGTGCTCCGCGAGATATACATACGAAGAAGTGAATTAAGAGAATCCTCCTTGTGGGTGGGCACTTACAATCCTATATTTAGAAATTTCATCGTAGGAGAGGTTAGATAAAATCGCTTCCAAGCAAACATCAGGGAGATTTATCAGTTGCAGATGAACATAATTGTTCGTCTGTTGCGCGGTAGAATTATATAAACGTTCGTTAACCATATCACCTGTTCCTTCCCATTCCAAGGACGACGCGAAATGAACTCTTTTCATCATAAAATCCACACCGTGACCGTAGATTGACATCAATTTACACGATCAACTGCTCTGAGGTGCCACGGGGTCCTACACCAGAACCATGAAGTAGAACTCAGAGTTCAGACCGTTCTACACAGTTCTACAAACTTCGATGACCTATAAACATAACATAAGGTGCGTTCCGAAATGCACTGAAAATCTATGGCTATATCGCTATATATTCAGCAAAGAATAAAGAAAGGAAACTTTCCAATAAGCGATACTGTATGACCGTCACCTCATCTCTCTCTCCTCTCTTAAGCCTTGTGTCCACGATGCTAGAAATCGGTCCGAGATCTCGGATGAAGAAAGAATTAACAAATCACATTTGAACAATTTGGTCACATGACCAATGTAATTGGTTAATTTTTCCTTCATCCGAGATCTCGGACCGATTTCTAGTATCGTGGACACAAAGGCTTTAAACCCGTTCTACAATAAGTCGGGAGCCGTTGTCATATGTCGTGCCGTAAGAAATTGGCCAATCATGGTCGATTGTTTTCAACTGTGATTGGCCAATTTCTTACGGCACGACTTACGACAACGTCGACAATGGGTGCATCCAGAAGCACGACCGCTCATTGAGCGCTCAATAAGCTCTTGTACCTGTTTGGTTTATATTTTTAGATCTAATAGAATATGCCAATCAGATAAAAAAGCTCATTGAGCGCTTAGTGAGCGGTCGTGTTTCTGGATGCACCTAAGACTCCCGACTTAGGGTCTGCGCACAATAGGAGAAATATTAGGAACAGATATTAAATATAAGAATTTTAACCTATCAGAATTGTGTACTGTGGAATGTGCGCTTTCTGACAGGTTAAAATTCTTATATTTAATATCTGTTCCTAATATTTCTCCTATTGTGCGTAGACCCTTATTGTAGACCAGGCCTTAGGTTTCTCTCTGGTGTAAATAAAGTAAATAAACAAATTAGCGCAATGAGCGGAAACAGATGTAAAACTCTAATTTGTACGTTTATGGGTCTGTTTTTTATTCCTGCACTATCTAAACTAATGCGCACGGTGCAATAAGTTAAAATGAAACAAGCGTATATTTGTTTCACTTCAACTTATTGCACCGTGTGTACTAGTTCAGACAGTGCAGGAACAAAAAACAAACTAGCTGCATCAAACGGTCAGCTGACAGTTCCGGTGGATTATTGAAAGCTGTTTTAAAAATATTGTTCTAAAATAGGAGGGTTAAAATATCCGTCGATTAATTCTTTGTTCGTAAATACGTATAATATTTCTATGTGAAAGAGAAAAAGAAAATTTCAGTTTCCACTTTGTTTACATGACATCACAACAGAGTAAATGCGAAGTATCTCGTCAAAGAAAAGATATACGATAGCAAATATTTCGTTCACCACGTATCAAGGATGGCACTGTCTTCGAAAGACATCGGGAAATTGTTGGATCTCCTCAATGAGGAAAACTTGGATACTATCTTGGAGACCTTTTGCAACCAACTACATCAGAGCTTCCCTAAGGAGGAGCGCTTCAAGGTTGGAACAGTACTGCTGCTGCAGTTACAGCAGGTTGATCTATTGCCTAAGCACACTCAACGTGTTGTAGCATTAACGCTGCTGTTCGACCTATATCGAGGGGAACCGTTAGCTTTTACTCCTTTTGCTTCTGTATTTGTACAGATGCTAAAGTCTCAAGAAGATATTAACAACGGAAGCTCAAAACCATCCAGCCACACTGGTCACATACCATTCCTGTCAAATTGTGAGAAGAATCTACTTGTCAATTTGATGGGATACAATCAGAAGGATGTTATGAAGAAAACGCCACGTCAGATTGTAGATGAATTCTCATTTTCCACTGTGCCATCTATCGATCTGACCAATTTGCAGCTGCAGTTGGCAGAACATCAGTCTGAACTGCCAACCGTCAGTAAATGCGGAAATCCAATAATACTGCCTGATATGGATCACTCCAAAGGAACAGAATATGACGCGGCCACAGTAAGAAATATAATAGAAGATCTTGCTACTGGTGATCCGCCCCTATGTAGACAGAGCTATCGTCCAGAGTTTCTGAGGCTTGTACCACCAATTTATCATTCTATCAATGAGATTGCTTGGTTCCATGTCACGGAACCAACTCAGTTTACAGTCGAGTACGACCCTAGTATGTGCGTGTCAAACTGTGTCAGCTTTGAGGCACGTAAACTCATGGGCAAAGCCTTCAAGAATGTTTTAACACTGATGCAGCAACAAAATTTGATCGGTGAATTGGAAAAAGATCCGAAACTCGTTTATCATATTGGACTGACTCCGCCCAAATTACCAGATCTGGTTGAGAACAATCCTCTAATTGCCATAGAGGTTTTACTAAAACTAATGCAATCCAGTCAGATCACAGAATATTTTAGCGTACTGGTGAACATGGAGATGTCCCTTCATTCCATGGAGGTTGTGAATAGATTAACTACCACGGTGGACCTACCAACGGAATTTGTACATTTGTATATCAGCAACTGTATATCCACTTGCGAGACTATCAAAGATCGCTACATGCAAAACCGATTAGTGCGACTTGTTTGTGTGTTTCTGCAGTCTCTGATAAGAAATAAAATCATAAATGTGCAAGAATTATTTATTGAGATTCAAGCATTCTGTGTTGAATTTAGTCGTATTAGAGAAGCAGCCGCGTTATTTCGACTTCTAAAACAACTTGAATCTGGTGATACCGGTGGACTTAATGCTCCACCTGCAAGATGTAGAACTGATATGTGTTAAAACATGTAACTATATTTATAGTGTCTGGAACATTTATGTAAAAAAATACAATTAAAGAATTTGTTAATTAAAGTACACGATAAAATATAATGTTTAATAGGAAACATTATTTTGTATTTATTAAATTCCAATTAGATGTATACCTATATTCTTTGTATATCTAATCAAATGAAATAATACTGAAAAATTATATTATTAACAATATTAAGTGAAAATGAATCAAGAAGAATTAAGGATCTTGATGTCTAATTAAGCGAGGTCTCGATAGTTAAATTGATAAGACTTTAAGAGATCTAGGTTCTTTCGAATTCCAATTGATATTTTTCACCATAAATTTTTTAGAGTATTTTTGAAGATGTTTATTATTTACCTAGAATCTCAGACTTCGAAGCCATACTTTTTCAACTCTTGGGTACATCATTCAATGTATCGGAATTATTCTATGTGAACTTCTGCTCTTCGAGGAGACCATTACAGGATCTTTAGATCCATTTCGTCGCATGGTACTGTGACCTTTTATCTTTTACATTAGGTCGGACGTTTAAGTAAGAAAAATTAAAGAAGAAAATACTCATGAACAGTAATATTAAATTGTTTGTCAATTCAACTTGTGATATTACATACTCCGGCTTCACAGTTTAAGACCATGTTTCAAAATTAACAAATAATTGGCACGCAATTTTACTTGAACTTAAAATTCATACAAAAATATCATTAGACACCCTCCTTGATCGAAATGGTTCTCTTCACTCATTTGTTTATATTATTAAGCTTTATATAGCTATTACTAAGCTATTGATCATGTTAAAAATACTATTCAATGTAATATATAGTAAAAAACATTATCTTATTTAACAAAACATTGAACTTGTCTTAAAGGAAATCTTGGTTATAAGAATTCATATAATTTTAATGTTGTATGTAGGAGTGAATATAAGTTCATTGTATGAAGTATTGAGAGTAATATAATATATTTGCATAAAATACTAATCTATAATTTGACATATTTTTCTGTATTTTTTGGTGAAGTTATGTAAAACATTCTATCGTATAATAAATACATGTCTTGCAATATATATATATATATATAAAAGTAATTTATAATTGTATAATTTTTATGCATTTGTATTTACTATGCATTCTAAGCTTCCAAGTACAAAAGAAATTAATTATAATAATAAATATCGCAATTGATACATATTTTAGTTTCATATTTTCTGAATAAAGATCTTGTTTTTTAATATATATATATAAGAAGTAATGAAAAGTTTTGTCGCATAGGGGTAGAATGGACTAAAACTGAGAAGAAAAGTCCTCTATTATTTTATAATTTTCGCAATAGTTAACGAGATATTAATTTATAAAAATATCCAAATTTTTTTCGCCACCGCCAAATGCAAGCGCGCGACTGAATAAGACCGCCCAGCAAGATGCGCGGCGCGATATATTGGATATTTTTATAAATTAATATCTCGTAAACTATTGCGAAAATTGTAAAATGGTAGAGGACTTTTCTTCTCAGTTTTAGTCCAATCTATCCCTATGCGACAAAACTTTTCATTACTTATCAAACACCCTATATATTTCATGATGTTGATTGGTGTATAATCGGTAAGCTTTCATTTTAATATTTATAGAAATGTATTATAAAAAGTTGAACAAAAATTTATTATATGCATTAAACTTGTATATAATACACATAAAATGATATATGACAAATCTCACAAACTTAAATTACAAATGTCGACACGATAAATGTCTATTATAAGTTAATATTTTTATATAATTAATAGATCTATGCATAATTTTATACAACTCGAACATTATTCAATCATGGTATCAATAATGACATGATACAGCGATAACCCACAAACCTTCTGGTAATGTTCAGACATCTTTTATGAACAAAATGATATAGATTGCGACAACTTTGATCAACATATAATTGATACAATTTTTATAAATTGTCGTTTACCTTATTGCTGTTATTGATCTAATAAATAATTTTGTTTAGTTTAAATCATTCTCAGAGACACACGATTTATATTACAAATCTCAGGATTAAATAATATTTCACATCTTGTACATGCAACACAATTATAATACTACAAGTTATTGATGCATAAATTATAATGAAATGACTGTTAATATAACAATAAAATCGCTATCAAAATAGTTTATTGGTTTTACCTGCAAACTAACATATATACCTTATATACACCCATTGATCATATGTATATATATATATATATATATGCAAATGTACATACACATACATACATATATATACGTGTATATAAAACAATGGAATTAAATATAATTATATCGTTAATAATAATTTATACATATAACTTATTATACATAACTGATTCATATATGTATTAAAAATGGACATTATTTTGCAATTTTCGAAGTGTCTTGCATTTTTAATCTGCTAATATAGTATAAAACGAAAAATACGTGATATTTTACTAAAGCTAAGAAAATATACTACAAATTTGTTACATTGTGCAATAAATTACAATGTTTGTGATACAGTACATAGATAATATATAAAGTAGAAAACCGAAAAAAAATCTGTTCAGAACCAGCACAGAAGTATTTCATTAACGATGTTTTTATTGGTATCTTAAATATTACTAACATATAATTTTTCATATTTTTCTGGTAATAATTAAAACACCGATAAACATCGTTATTGTATTAAAGAACAATCAAACAGACGTAAAATGTCTGCATGCTGGCATAGAACAGAAATCATTTACATTTTTTTGTCCCATAGTTTACAAAATACAATTCCTGCTATCTAAATTACATTGCACGACATAACAATCTTTTACTTTTTTTTTACAGTCTTCACTTTTACTACACTTTTTGTAGTTTTATCTTTAATCGCTATCGATTTTGTTTTTAGCGGTTTCATTTGCATCTTAACATCATTCATGGACATCTTTTTCATTTTTATACTCTTCACTTCATTTTTGTCATCTTTTGTTTTGACTTTGGTAATGCTAGGCATAATTATACCGGGTCTTATGCAATTAGACCCGGTAGACTTATACTAGGCCGTTACTTTCACTTTCTTTTTCCTTTTTTTCTTCTTCTTATCATGAAGTAGTTCTTTTTTTGCTATACAAAAGCGGCAGTACCAATCTTCATCTTCAGCAGGTGGAACTTGCATACCGACACACACCCTGAAATATTAAAAAGAAAGTAGTAAGATATTTTTACTAATTTCAACGTTATGCGGTGTAAATTATAACAAGTTATTTACCAGTGATACCAAGCGTCACAATCATCGCAACCGATCATTGGCGAGCCATCATCCTGATTGCCGCATGCGGGACATATCCACACTTGTCGACCCCCTCGATCCTGGAACACTCATCTCAGGATAAACGGAACTCGATAAAAATTTTTATTTAAACCCAACCCATCTCATGATATTCATTCTGGAGTTTTGGAAAATCATTCAAACATTTATCAACGTTTGGATTCCTTATTAAAATATTTGTTTTAATGGAACATGTTTCTTGATAACGTACTGACTCTATAAGAATTAGTCAGCAGACTTTAAGTCAAGATATTTTGTCATGCTGTCCATGGACATTCTCTCTTATCAAGAAAAAATATTTTAATAAAAAAACAAGATACTAGTCGCTTATAATACTTTCTTATGAAATTCCCTCTTAAATAATATGTGAGACTTATGTATCTCAATGAAATAATGATTTATGATAACATGAGTCGGAGATGAACTTGTCTCTTCTTTTTTAATATTCGACATATCCTTTAAACCATAACTAGCTTTTTATCTAAATCACTCCTATATATAAGGCATCTAGCGTGCGCATTATTTCCGCATTTATATTTTTGCAATATACGTATCATGTTGCAACTAACGTATTATGAAATATGAAAACTAATTATCCATAGCATCGGCGTATAGAAAATTCCTTGCAATGTTCTTTAAAAGAGGTGTAAAGCGTACTCACCACAGTAGTGGTTGGTGTTGTAGGCAACACGTTCCTGCCATTTTCTTTGTCTTCTTTAGCATCGTCCTTTTTAGGAACTGGATCTGCTTTCACCTCTGTACCGTTAAAACCGTTGGTTATATTCCTAACGGGTCTCTCATGCTAAATGTTTTTATGCAACGTGCAAATCTCATGCAATGGTTTGCTTTTACATTTTTTATTACATAATTTTCTTAATATTTTCTTTACTGTCTGTTAGTATATTACTAATAAATTATCTATCAATAATCACAAACTATAAGTGAAGAGAAATGAATGAGAAATCATTCTCATTATATCTTGAGTTAAGTCAATTCTTATAATATGTTTTAAAAATAAGAGACGTAAAATGTGACATTAGTAACTGATAAGATACATGCTCTCTAATGCTACTTAGTTAACAGTCAAGCAGCGAATTCAGTAGTGAGATACAAATCTTAATTGCATCTTGTAACTATTTGTACGTGAAGAATATATATTTGCGCTAATGTGACTGCATTTGCTAGATAAGAAAAATTAATGAGAAGCATGGGCGTATTATTAATTAATAGAAGAAAGATATATTATAAAAGAAATTGCTTTTTTTAGCATATATGGAAGAATAAGTTGTTAAAAATGATATTGTATATTAGTAACTGATGCTACTCGAACTTTTTAAACTATATATACTAAAAAAAAGTAGTATAAAATTTACGGTAACAATTTAGTTGAACATTAAGGATATTCTGCGTTTTAAAATTATTCGATACCAATCATGGTACATATATTTACAATAATGCCTCCATGAAATTTGCATTTATACTGTTAATGGATATTTGTTCATTAAATCTCAGTATATTATTTATTTATATGATTACATTGTAATCGCTCAAATTTGTAATGATAAGAAGAGACAAGTATATTACATTGTATGTTATGTATATACATATATATATAAACTTATTTATATATAATATTTGTATATATAAATATCTACACACATACATATACATATATGTATACAGAGTGAGACATCTAAAACAGTCTAAATAACTCGATTGTTTTTGATGACATGAAAAA